ATGTCCTTTGTTTGTTAGATTTAATTATATTGTTAGTGTGCTTTTTACCTAGTGAGTAACAAAAATTGTTTAATAAATTTCAGGTTGTTAAATAAAATTGAGTTGAATGTTACGTGAATTATGGTGAACAAAAAAATTGATTCTTTCTTTAAGAAAAGTGGCTCTCAAGATATAGAAGTTAATGCAACTACAAAACCTTCCATTGATAATGTTGAAGCTTCAATTCCTGAACAACGTCCTTGTAAAGTTCCTAGAATAGAATCCAAAGAAGTTGATAAATCTTCTTTGGTGAGGGATCTAGGACTACGACCACAAATTTGGGATTATTTGATATCTCAACGTGATGAGATTCGATGAGCTTACATCAAATTTGGACCATACCAACCTGACAACCATCCTTTTGAAGAGAAGAATGGGCGTCATTTTCTAGCTTCTTGGTAAAAGTTATTTCCAGATTGACTAGAATATTCTCCAACCAAACATTGTGTTTTTTGTCTTCCTTGCTATCTTTTTACAAAACCGAATGGACGCACTACTTCTAGCGCTTTAATTTCTGATGGATTTTCTTCATGGAAGAAAGTCAATAGTGGGAAGACTTGTGCTTTCTTAACTCATATGGGAAAGGGTCCTAATTCATTGCACAGAATTGCTGTTAAATCTTGCCATGATTTAACAAATCAAGCGCAACATATTGAGAAGATAGTTGAGAAACAAACTTCTCAACAAGTTGCAAAAAACCGTTCGCAGTTGAAGACTACAATAGATGCTGTCAAATGGCTTACATTTGAAGCTTGTGCATTTAGAGGTCATGATGAAGGTCATGATTCTAATAATCGTGGGAATGTTATTGAATTGATAAAGCTCTTGGCATCTTATAATGCAGATGTGGCAGATGTTGTGTTACACAAAGGTCCTCAAAATGCTTCACACTACTTGCATCAAATTCAAAAAGAGGTTCTTAGTTTTTCTTTGACAAAATACAAAGATTCATTCGTGAGGAGATTGATGAAGCAAAATTTTGCGTTATAGTGGATGAAGCTCGAGATGAATCAAAGAGGGAGCAAATGGCCATTGTTCTAAGATTTGTTAATAAAGATGGTTTTATAAATGAGCATTTTTTTGACATAGTTCATGTATCGGATACAACATCAGCAACTTTGAAAGAAGAAATATGTATTGTCCTATCTCGTCATAATCTCAGTGTACAAAATATTCGTGGTCAAGGGTATGATGGTGCTAGTAATATGCGTGGAGAGTGGACTGGGTTGCAGGCCTTATTTCTTCATGACTGTCATTTTGCGTATTATGTTCATTGCTTTGCTCATCGACTCCAATTAGCATTGGTAGCGATAGCAAGAGAGGTTATACCCGTTGCCCAATTTTTTTTTCTTATCTAGCTCTAATAGTTAATCTATGTGGCTCTTCTTGTAGAAGGCATGACCAATTGAAAGTTACTCAAGCTGAAGAAATTGCAGCAAAACTTGTCATTCATGAAGTTGAAACTGGTAAAGGCAAAAATCAAGTTCGAACATTGAAATGGGCTGGAGATACTCGATGGGGTTCTCATTTGGGATCTATTTCCAGTTTGATAAATATCTTTGGTGCAACTTGTTCAGTCTTAAGTAATGTCATCAATGATGGAGCCACCTCTACTCAACGTGCAGATGCAAATGGAGTTTATGACAAGATTACATCTTTTGAGTTTGTGTTTATCTTACATCTTATGAGAGATATTATGGGGATTACTAATGATCTTTGCCAAGCTTTGCAACGTAAATCCCAAGATATATTGAATGCAATGCATCTAGTGTCAACTACAAAAGCACTTGTTAAAAAATATAGAGAAGATGGATGGATTTCTTTGTTGGAGAATGTTCAACTATTTTGTGGAAAATATGACATAGATATTCCTGATATGAGTGCTCGTTACACATCTGGTAGAGGTCGTGCTTGTCACCAAAAAGATCACATTACTATTGAGCATCGTTTTCGGGTTGATATTTTTACAATTATATGTGATTCCCAATTACAAGAATTGAACAACAGATTCAAAGAAGATGTGATGGAGTTGCTTATTCTTAGCTCTGCTTTAGATCCTAGGGATGATTACAGTTTGTTCAAAATTGAAGATATATGCAAGCTTGCAAATCAATTTTATCCTAATGACTTTACAGAGCAAGAAAAAATTCATTTGAAATTCCAATTGCAAAATTACGAGATTGACATCCTTAAACATCCTAAGTTTTAACAGCTGTTGACAATTTCTGAATTGTGCCAAATGTTGGCAACAACAAGGAAGTCCACAATTTATCCTCTTGTCGATAGATTGATTCATCTTGTTCTAACTTTTCCAGTTTCTACGGTGACAACAGAACGTGCATTTTCAGCCATGAAAATTGTAAAGACTAGATTGCGCAACAAGATGAAGGATGATTTTCTTTCAAGTTACTTGTTAACATATGTTGAGAAAGACATTGCTCGAGATTTTGATGTAGATTCCATTATAGATGCTTTTTATGTTATGAAAGAACGTTGAGCACAATTTTAGATGCCTAAGTAGATATGTAAAGCAAATAGTTGCTTTTTTGAAAATTATTATGAATTTACTAGAACATATCCAATTGTATTTTGATAATATTTTGCAATTATATACGATGAATGGAAACATATAATTATATATTTTTTGTGATATTTGGGTAGAAAATGATATTGTATATCACATGCTCATGACAAATTCTTTGATTGCATATATATTTTTTGTGATATTTGGGTAGAAAATGATATTGTATATCACATGCTCATGACAAATTCTTTGATTGCATATACGCTCGCCCCCCCCCCGATATTAGAATCCTGCGCCCGTTCCTGGTTGTGTAGCAATTTTTGTGGTGTGAGTTTTCAGGTTCATTCAACTCCTATAGAGAGGAGTTTGATACCCTTTGTGGTGATTGGTTTATTTCTCCATCATTGTGGGAGTTGTATGTGGTTATTAGTTGTTGTTGAAATTACAAAATTTTAATTTTATCATCATCTTTGACTTTCTAAACCTTAACCCTAACCCCTTACCCCTACTTCCACCTCTACCTAACCACAAACCACCACCAGCAACAGCTTCGGCCACCACTCTTTTTCCTTGTTCCTAGCTTCGCCAACCCTCTCCGCCCATCCTAAAAGTGTAAAAATGGCCAGCAACCCATGGGCGGCCCGAAGCCAGCCCGTGGCCTGGGTAGGCCCGTCTAGGTCTGGGCCTGAGCCTAGCTCGAGACCCTAGGCCTAGGCTTGGGCCATCATTTTGAAGCGTGGCTTGACCTATGGCTTGACCCATCAGTCCACTCAAGGCCCAGCCTGAGGCCCAGCCCGTTCGGCTCGCCCAAGGCTCAGTGTCTTTTTAGTGAAAAATAATAGAAAAAATAAAAAAAAAAAAACAAAAAAGATGTTCAAGCCTGCCCAAGCCTGAGCCCAGGCCAACCGACCCATCTAAGGCCTGAATACCCTTTAAGCCTGGGCCTAATTTTTCTGGCCCGTGGGCCACACGACCCAACCCAAATTTTGGTAGGGGCCCTCGAGGCCCGACATGGGCTCGGTCGGGCCCAGGCCGAGCCAAATTTGCACCCCTAGCCCATCCCATGTCCTTGATCGTCCCCTTTTGCCTTTTCTCACAACCCTACCAACCTTTTGTGAGAGAGAGAGAGAGAGAGAGAGAGAGAGAGAGATTATTAAAGATCACGAGAGAAGAAAGATGAAGAAGAGATGCTATAGGATCTGGAAAGAAAGAGGGGGAGATCACAAGAGAGATAACTGATGAGAGATCATATATCATGATAGGGGGATAGGTTAATTAAGATGGGTTGGATAAGGGCTTGACAAGAGTTGGCACCTAAGTGGGGTAGAGGGTGGAGAAGGATATGTGTTGGGGTGTGCACAAGGGATGGAGGAAGGGCTGATGGTGGTGGCACCCAAGTGGGGTAGAGGTTGGAGAAAGATATGTGTTGGGGTGTGCATAGGGGATGGGGAAGGGCTAATGGTGGTGGCAGATGTGGGAAGGCATTGGGGAATGGCGGATGGTGGGGTGCGGGTCGAGGTAGGGATAGGGTTTGAGAGGTGGAAGGTAATTTTTATATTAAGTGATGTGATGAACGAAAAATAAAAAATTTCAAAATTTATGAGCAGGGGCTTAAAGTAAGTAAGAGTTCAAAAAGATTTAATGGGAACTATTAGCCACCCTCTTCTATAATCCTATTTGTCTAATATGGGTGAAGAAATAATTCAATAAAGTTAGTGATTATCATAAACACTGGACATAAATTTTCAAGTGGAATCAATGGGAATAAATGGATATGTGCATTTAATCACAATAGGTAAGACAAAAAATTGTTGGGATAAAAAATGAAACACAGGGCAAAAAATTTGATGTAATTTCTTAAAACTAATTTTAAGTAGATATTTGAGAAAATACTTTTGTATAAGAAATTATAATTTCTAATCAAGCATAAACCGCCTTTTTTTCCCCTCTTTTGGGACTTTTTTTCTGATTTACGTCGACTGAAAGCATATAAATGAATGAAAATAGACTAGTTTTCTTGTCACAACCAAATTGAGAGTTTGAGTTTTTATTTTTATTTTTTTATATTTTATTTAGTGGCAAAAAAAAAAAAAAAAAAAAAAAAAAAGTAGGTGGGGGAGAACCAACGCATAACATTCATTCCTAGACGCAACCGTAAGAGCCTTGCTTACTAGAATCTAAGGTTCCTTTAAATGACACAAAATACGAATAGACTTTCAAGTTTAACAAATTCCTAATATACAATACTACCTCACATGGGATGATCCATTTGATCATTGAAACATGAAAATTACCCTTATATATGGCTATTTAGTAGTATATATTTTGTGCTCTTCCCATGAAAGGAAAATCCACTTTGACAAGCTTGTCCCTTTTCTTCAATGATTGATTTTATTAAAATAACAAATTATTACATTATAAAAATAACACATCAAAATAAACAAATTAGGGAAATGCCCTAATAAAGGATTTCATTGATACAAAGATGCCTCAAATTGGGTTTCCATACCAACTTGGGGGTTAAATATACAAACTTTATATGATATTCATATGGCCTTGATTTCAACTTAAGGCTACCAATTGAATATCTCTGTCTACAAGTAACTTTAATTCAAACTTTATGTATACATATAAGCCTAAGCGGGTGCTAGTTAGCTACTAGTCCACCACATCAATAGACTCAAAGTTTTCTTAATTGTCTCCCAAACCGACCCTTTCTCATGAATTCAACACCATATACAAATTTGTAACCCAATGGTGTCATGAAAATTTAGAATTGACCGCCTTCAAATGTTTGGCCAAACTGCCAATTAGCAGGCACCGCAGTGTAGCTGGTAACGGTCCTTCCATCACTAGTGGTGACTTGAAATGAGAGAGACTGGCCATTGAGTAAGGAGTTACTTTGCCAGTTTTGGCCCCAATTCCTTGACATGGGTTGCCATCCTGTGTTGGACCCTTTGATCGACACCGACTGGACGTCCCCTGCGCCTCCAACGTTGCTAACTAAGACCAGATTGAAGTAAGAGTGACCATTGATTGTAAATCGTATTCCTCCTTTCTTTACACAAGGCACCCTGTGAGGACCACAACACAACCATATTTGTTAGTCAATTTAGAGGAAGGGTAAACTATTATTTGTAAGACTCAACCTAGGTATATCACTTGATACGAGAGCACAAATTCCTCGGTCTTTATTCGTTAGTCAAATTTACTAGCACAAATCAAGCAAATTACTTTGACTAAAATTTAAGTCAATTTTTTGACTTTTTGATATGTTGAGGATTAAAGAAAAAGAAAATTAGTTGCACAAAATTAAATAGCAAAAAATTGTATAGAACACAGATAGGGTGTGAGGCCCACACCCCACCTTTGTGTTATGTGGAAGTAACAAAGCTTTGAGGATAGTTAGTCAGTAACCCTTACCTTTGGAAAGATACGGGAACAATTCCAGCTCTGTATTGGGCAATTTGCAAGAAAGCAGGCTCTGCTAGATCAAAATGTTGGAGGGGAGGGTTGCACCAGCCTCCATTGTCATTAGACTGAGAAGGGTTAGGTGGGCAAAAGTTTGTAGCAGTCACAGTGATGGTTCCAGGGAGGCACCATTGTGGGTCATCATTGCATTTGATCTGATAGCATGCCCCACAACTGAAGCCATTGTTAAACAGAGCAGTGCTAAGTGCTGCAGTGTTGGTGCCATAACCTTGGCTATACAAATTTCCATATCCACAGGCACCTCCTGTGACACCAAAATCATCATGGACAAGAAACCCATATCCCAAATTATCAATTTCTATAAATTTTACATTAGACAAGAAACCCATATCTCAAACTCTTTTAAATTATCAATTTCTCTTTAGTTTTGAAATTATAATTTGAGTGTGGAGTTATGATTTAAGTGTGGAATTGTGAGTTGAGTTTTGAAAAGAGAAATTTAGCTGTGTTTGGTTATGTTTTCAAACAATGATTCTACACCCATATTTTAATATGATGTTTGGAACGAATTCTCAAATCACATTTTCACAACTCTGTAGAAAACTCTGTATGGGGTGCGTTTTTCAAATTTGACCTAACCGGTCGTCCCACCGGATGTCCGGCCGGTTGACCGAAGCAGTGCAATTTTTTTTTTTTTAATATGTTAATTTTTATATATTCTAAAAAAATATTTTTCGAATTTTTTTAAATTTTTTATGTGCTTGAATAGAATTTTGAGTTGTATGTTTGATTATGAGTTGTAAGTTTTTATATCAAATATCATATGTCACTTTAAAAATTCTTCACTCAATTCAAAACTCTCTTTAAAACTCTTTTACCAAACAAATTTTTTATACTCAAATCATAATTTCAAAACTCACAAACTTAAAATACAACTCATACTCTCAAATCATATTTAGAAAGCTCTACCAAACGCAAACTTTCATTTGGTTATGAGTTTTGAAAAGAGTTTTAAGTTATATTTTGAGTCTTGAGTTTTTGAATTTTGAGTTGTATTTTGAAATTTTTTGAATTTTTTTTTAAATTAAAAAATGTTTAAGAAAATTTTATTTTTTATTTAAAGAAAATTTTGATTCTAAAAATAATTTTAAAAAACAAAATAAAAAATATTTTTTTGATTTTTTTTTTTTAAATAGAGTTTTGAAAAGAGTTTGATTTTGAGTTTTGAGTTGTGTGTTTAGTTATGAATTTTAAATTTTTTTGATTGGAATCATAATTCCAAAAGAGAACCAAACGCAAGCAAAACTTCTTGTTAATTTTTATATCTAGTATTGCTTAATGACTCGATAGCAAAGAAGTTATTGCGGTAGAAACTCAGAACAAGTATAGCGGTAAAACTCAAAATAAGTAAAATGTGAAGTTGTGAAAAAGCAACGTAACTTTGTAGTGCAAAATCAATAACACTATAAAAACTACTCAAAATGTAGTATTAGCAGCACTTGCATTCATTTTAGATGGGATCGCATCAATAAATTTTGTACATGTTTTTTTGGGGGTGTATAACTTGTCTAACTTACCCATTGTGCCGGTTGCATCACCCCCACCATAAAAAGTTGCATGAGCGCCTTGCCACCCTCCTCCATAGTCACCATAAGCGCCACGGAGGCACAAATTGAAGAAGAGGAAGAGTGGAAGAGAAACAATGAAAAATGCTTGAATAGCCATTGAGAGAGAGTCAGAGATGCTAGAGAGGGGAGACAGATAAGATTGTATGGTAAGAGCTTCTTAGTACAAAGAGAGGGAATGGGGCTTTACTTATATAGGGAAATGGATGCCAAGTTGAGGACTTTGAGGGGGATTAGATAAATAGTTGTTTGTTTGTATGGTAGAAAGTGACAACTTAGGAATGCTAACATTTGAGAAAAGGCAAAAACCACAAAACCTGAATCAAATAATGTTTATTTATTTATTTAAAAGGTCATGTACAAGGCATCAAAGGTTGCACATGCAAATGTTGCGACTAAACAATACCAACTGCTAAGCACACATGACCCCACCAAGCACATGCACTTCTCAACCGTCTCTGTCCCATTTCTTTTTTTCTCTTCTCTAAGCATATGGGTTGTTTCTAGCTCAGAATTTGGATTAGATGTATTGTTTGAGTCTATGAGACCCAAAATAAGTCCCATTTTTAAGAATTGAATCGTTTGTTTTGTAAAATTTTACATGAAAAAATTTAAGTTAATTCGAAAATTATAATCTCGTCATTTTATCACGTCAATAAACCAATTTGAATTATAAATTTTGAACTAGAAACAAGTTGAATTCCTTTTTCAATACCTACTCTACCAATCACATGTCTATCGTTTGAAATTTTTAATTTTCTCTCATTTGCCAAAATTCACGCAGTCAATTAAGTGTTTACATTAACGGGTAATGTAGGACACGTTTAATTGGGGAATTTGTGGCACATTTGCAGCTACACTACCTGTTTAAAGGAAATGGATTTGCCCCAATTTTGAACATCCAATTTTGCCCCCAAAATTATTATGCATTTTAAGTTGGCATCCGGACTTCGTATTATTTTAATTTTTTCCAAACTTTTTAAAATTTTATCAATTTACCCTCCATTGTCTATTTTCGTCTACAATCAAACGGAACTTGTTGACGTGACACCAAATTTTATTTGAAATTTTATTTTACCCTCTAAACTATACCTTAAAAATCAATTATCCCCAAATATAATAAAAAAAATTAAATTTTAAATAATATATACCCTGCAAAAAAATATAAAAATCATTATTTAGAATTTTCTCTTTAAGTTTCACACTATGAAGTATAAGTATTTTGACAAACATGTCATACCAATATCGAATACTTACCGGTGTATGGTGCTTCTGCATATATATCGGATACACAAAATACGTACTCAAATTTTTTTTCTTAATTTTTGGCATACCCAAATGTACCTAATATATACCAAAGCCGTGTCGTACCTCATTTGAAACAATATTTTCCTCTACTACAGATATAAAATTCCTTATACTAGGTTTCTTTTTTATTTTTAATTTTATACTTATGATTTTAAAATTAAATTATAATTTGTAAGTTATTTTATATAATGATATTTACTTTTGGTTTATCTTATAGGTGTACTTTTGGCATTAAATGTTAAATGTATGTTGGATCTTAAACTACTAGTAACACCCCATCTCGCAATTAAGTCCACACCCACTAAATCATGATATAGAGCGCCTACCTTCATCACCACCCATCCATCTTCTTCAAATCTCATCCTTAAAACCTTAAAAACCCTCCAATATCGATATTTTGGCGACAACGGTGGCAATCATTCAATTACAGACACTTCTCCAGCAATGATAATGAGTGGAAGTTTTTTCGATAATCACAATTTCATAAGAAGAGAGGAGTACAACAATAAATTTAGAGGAGGTTTTCATAACTTTGATGGTGTTCTCAGCTCGGAGGAGAGCCTTATAAGGGTAAGTTTATTGAAAAACATGGCAAAAAATGTGAAAACAATTCATATTTTTTTAGCACCGAACTCCCAAACATATGACCAAAATTCAAGAATACATGCCCGAACATTGCTTATTTGTTCCGAAACACAAGTCCGAATATGAGAATTTAACACACTTTGAAGGGTTAAAATTGTTCACATTTGTAGAAGTTTTCGTTTTATCAAGTTCGGAAACATATGTCTGAACATTGGTTATATGTTTGGGAACATAGGTCTAAACATAGCTTATTTGTTCGAGAATATAGGTTTGAATATTCTTAGTGAAAGAGAGACTTCAAGGGATGAGAGAGGAGCGAGATTGTGACTGAGCAGAATAAAGATTTGCTTCAATTGAACTATACATACACATAGAGATATATATTTATGGTTTTAATCGCAATGAACATGTTCCTTATACCGATCGATTCATTTGGAAAAAAAATTTCTTCTACCACCATGAGAAGAGAATGGGTTTTGGAAATTGTTTTTGTTAAGATTTTGGGAGATAATAGTTTTTAGAGGCGTGGGGGTGAAATTTTTATAAGATAATGTTGATATTATTTGGAGGGAAGAAAGAAATTTGAACGGTTTTAAAATTTATAAGTGAGTCTAAAGAAATAGGGGGTCTAAAATAATAAATGAGATGCTAATAGCAGCACTCTTTAAAAAAAAATAAAAACAAAAACAAAATCTCTTTACAGTTTTAATTGTTAAATCTCTTCTTGATTTCAAAAAATTGTAGCACACAAGATGTCACAAAATTTTGTTTCTCAAAAACATCCCCATAACATGATAATTGTTAGGGTAAAATATACATTGTCTCTTTTATGTTTGACCATTTTTCTACTTTGACATTTAAATCCCCCCCATCTTATTTTGACTCTTCATGTTTCAATTTTTTTCCAATTTACTCTTCAAGTTAACTTATGTTCAAAATTATACAAAAAATGACATATTAATGATTGTGTGCCATAAAAATATTCTATTATATACAACTCACATCTCTGACACAAACTCAAATCTCAGTATACTAATATATTTCTTTTATGTTATTTTATAGTTATCGTGACATTTTCTATCTAATTTTGAACAAAAGTTAACTTTAAGAGTAAAATACAAAAAAAAAAAAAAAATGTGAAAAATAAAATGCCAAAGTGAGAAAAGTTAAACTTTAAGAGTCAAAGTTGGAAACTGGCCAAATGTAAAGGGGGCAAAGTGTATTTTTCCTTAAACACATATTAATATGTACTAATTGAGCGTTATTTTTGTTATAAACTACTTCAAATCGCAGTGATCAAATCCAATTACAAAATGCACACACCAAAAATATATATATATATATATATATATAAAATATTGCATTTTCAAACCTTTTTGCCGTTATAGATGAATCTTCAAACAAGAATAGGAAGTGTGAATGCTGGATAAGGTATCTAGAACCAAATGTCGGTTATTATTTATATATAATGCGGCGAAGAAATTTATAAATAAAATAAAATAAAAATAATTTCAATTCACGACATATTGATAATCGTTATATGTTGGGTTAATTTGCTTAAATTATATTTGAAATGATAAGGGTACGTGCAAGAATGGTTTTATAATCAAGTTTTTTAGTTAAAATCATTAATTTATTGTCAAAATTATTGTTATACTAACTTAAATATTAGGTGGAACTACAAGATTTCAAAGTTGAAAAACAAGGAAGGGATTTGATTAAGGTCCTACCATGTTGAGAGCACATGCAACCTTATCATAGTTTTGGAGTCATTCATTTCTAAGCGCATATATATATATACATATATATATATATATATATATATATTTTATAAAGGATAGTTACACTACCGGCCATTGCAGAGTTTGAGAGGATCATATATATGTTATATTATCTCGTATATAGAAAGATAATATTGTTTTCATATTATAAGTAGTTTATTAAAAAAAATGAGAATTGACTTTTGTGTAATGAATACAAAAAGAACATGTGATATGGCTAGCATTTTGTTGGCTTCTTTAATGCTGTGTTTGGTTAGAGGATTTGGGGAGGGATTTGGAAAGAGAAAGGGAAAATGTGTGTGAAATTATGTGAAATATAGGCATGATTTATTCACATTTCACCTACCTTTTCCATTTTCCTTTCCAAATCCCTTCCCAAATCCCCCAACCAAACACAACATAAAATAGAAAACTGTGACTTGGGACAATGAAAAAAATATCCTTCTTAGCAACCAATAAAATGCTTTGGCCAAAATCTTCAAATTTGTCTCTCCATTGTGAGTATATTGTGAATCTGAGGATTTACACACCTAGCCCTTCAAGATTTATAGTGAATTTTCTTTGATCATTTTTTTATTTTTTAACCTAATACTAATCTTAGGTAAGGCCTTTTAGACCAATCTTAGGAGCACAAACTAAAGATATGTGCGATCACTCTCTAATATGTTAACAAAAATAGAATGACAAAGATGCAATGCAATTTGGCTTTGGTGTTATCTCAGAAATTAATAGCTTTGCAATCAATTGATGGCAATGTGATATGAACCTATCAATATCAAATACAACACAAAAGAACAATAAACAAAGAAAGGTTCATTCAAATTTATATTTTGTCTGTGTTTGGTAAAACTTGATTTTAGCTTAAAATTTTAAATTTAATGTTTAGGCAGTTGTACATTGAAAACATAAGGTATTTGGTAATTTGCCTTTTTCAACTAAAAAAATAAATAAACTGAAAATAAACTTGAAAGGCAAATTTTTTTGGGAATTAAGTTGAAAAGTTGAAAATTTTACCGAACAACCTAAACATTTGTTCTAGCCTTGATTTTGCATGACAAGCATGAACAATTTCAGTCATAATACAGTTATTTCCCTTTTTATGATTTAAAAAGAAAAATAAGAGTATGGTTTCATTTTTTTATGCTAATACTTGTTTCAATATTTATGAGTCTGACCGGTTTTTCTGATCATTTTCTTTATGAGAGTTCTCATCAAAACCTAAACCCACAAAAGGCATGTCAAGAGTAGATTTATCCAAATGTTGTCGGTTAACCAATGAAAGCACCCTTCACAAGGGATTGTCTAGCATGGAAAATAACAGCGTTAGCAAGAGGGACTTGAAGGGTTTCTTCTATTAGTACTACTTAATAGCATCAGGGTCACCATATAGCACCAACAAACATCACACATAAATTTCCAGGGACCAATAGCTCACTACAAGAAAAAGCACCTTTGGCGACTAAATTTTTAATCGCCAAAAGTCTGTTTTTAGTCGTCGAAAATCGAGTTTTTACTTTCAACGACTAATTTTTTTAGTCATCTGTTTTGTCATGTATATATGGTCACCGGAGGTATTGGCGACTAAAATTTTTTTAGTCGGCAAAAAATAGCTCTTTAGCGACCAATGATTTAGTCGCCAATAGTGATTTACACTTTTTAAAATCACACATTTAGCGACTAATCTTTTAGTCGCCAATAGTCCATGAATCGCTGACTAAACCGTTTAGTCGCCCAAAATAAACACTTTTGGCGACTAAAATTTAGTCGCCAAAGGTGCTTCCGTGGAAAAAAAAAATCAACTTTTTTACTTTTTCTGAGATTCGAACCGCCAACCTCTCCCACATACTAAACCTTTAGTAACACACTCTCTCCACTATGCTACTACAACACCACATAAATATACATCCAACATATATTATTTATATACTATATTGACCTGTATTAATATCTAGCTATATATATAAAAATAATTATTTTTATTGAATGTAATTTATGTAAAAAATAAATTATTTACTAAAAAAAAAATTAGATCACTTTTGGCGACTAAATCTATTTTTTTGTCGCCAATTGTATAGTTTTGGCTACTAATTTATGTTTTACTCATCATATCAACGTTCGAAGCCGCAGTAAAGATATGTGCACTGAATTCATACACAAAAAATATACCTAAAAAATGAATGTATAATTCAGATTCAAGTTTTGTAAAGTCCATGTATCTTGAATAAATTTGGATTACACATTAAATTTTTTAGGTATTTTTCTATGCACTGATTTTGTATCTTGAATGAATTTGGATTACACATTAAATTTTTTAGGTATTTTTCTAGGCACGGATTTTGAGGCCATCCATAGGCCCTGTAAGATGCATGTTAGTTATGTTTATGGTCCCAAGCTTAGGTTTTTTTGTTCCTGATGTAGGATGCGGACCAAAGAGGGCACCTTCTGAATTAATTAATGGTTCGCCTTCTACATACAGGGAAAGAAACAAAATGCTTTTTATTTAATTATTGCTTCACCATTTGAGGCATATTATATGTGTATGTCTTGGATTGGGCAAGAGAAGCAACACCTTCATTTAGAGCAAAAATTCAGTGTAATTGTGATATCAATAACGTAATGTCCAAGTATAACGGTGATACCGACAACGTGATATTCAATGGCGTAGTCAAGAATTTTATTCACTTGGGTCATTTATCAAATCATCATCAATGTCATGATGCATTATATTTTTAGTTCTATACTACTTATCAACATTTAATATTAACATGATACTCCATAAATTTCATATACTTGGAATGACAATAACAAATTAATCAAGTTATAATTAAAAAGAAAATTTTGGGACATCAACATTATTGCTTCAATGAAAAAAAGCAAATATCCATACTAATTTTTATTTTTTTGAAATCCACACATAATAGTTTCATCTTTTTCTATATACATAATCAAACGAAATTTGAAAAGTCATATAAAAATTGATTTTATCTTTTAAATTTTTTAATTAACCATATAAGAAAGTCTAATAACATAAATTGTAAATCCAACACTAGCCACCATTACAAGAAAGAGTACACAATAGGGAAGAAATAATTAACTAAAAAAAAGTGGTAAATAATCAATTTTTATCTATGGTAAGAATTGAGCACTTGATCTCTCCGTTGAAAGTGTACATGACTATCTAAACTAACCCAATTGGTTTTATCTTTTAACTTTTCTAGCTCAATTTGTAAACTTTTATAAAGTTAGCCTTTTGATTTTAATTATACTCAACTGGGTCAATCTATAAAATTTTTAAATTTTAGATAAAATATTACATGTGCTCTAAAAGATTTTGTAACTTCAATGGTGTCAAGTGACACCACTAAGCTTAAGGTAGCTCCGCCTATGGTGGTATCACCAACTTATAATATATCCTATAATGTGGAGGATTAGTCTTACTTTCTAAGTGTGTATGACTATCTTTCTTGCTACATATATATGAGAGGGTAAATGGTGAGATATTATTGAATGGTGATACTAATGATATGGTATCATTGCTACATTGGAGTTTTTTTTTTTCCTTTCGGTGTTAGTTATATTTTGAGTAGGTGTTTGGGATTAATTTTTTGAGAAAATATCAATTTAGGACAAGTTTTAAAACATAATTACATATTAATATTAAACTTTATGAGTATTAAAATATTAATTATTTTTTTCATGAATGTATAAATATTTTTTTATACTAGCACTGATTTGTAATTATTCCTAATTTTTTTTGTGGTTTTATTTTTTTTAGTGAATTTTTTAAAATATAATTAAAAAAAAAAATTATACACTTTTGGGTTCTACTTCACTAGACAGATTAGTTTTATAAAAAGTTTGGAAAGGACAAAAAAACCAAAAAAAAGGTTGCTTTTTTTACTTACTTTTAGTTTCTTCCTTTTTCTTTTCTTTAGTGATTTTTTTTAACGTTTTAAATTTGTCTATACAAGACCGGGTTTAAAAAGTAAAAAAAAAAAAAAATTGACATAATTTTCATTAAAAAAAAAAAAAAACACCAAAGACAAAATAAAATAAAAAATTGACTTTACCTGTTTGTCAAACTTAGAGTATTTTTTTCTTGGTGGCTGCAAAGTTGTTTGTCATTGGTTTGGAATAATAGCATAGTGTGGCAACTATCACTACTAAAAAAAACACTTTTTGCGACCGCCACAAGCCGTCGCAAATAATAAAAATACAGTCGCAAAAAACTTTTTGCGACGGCCTATGCGACCGCAGATGGGGGACGCAAATGTGGGGGTGGCAAATACTTTTTGCGACGGCAAAACAGCGGTCGCAAATTATTTGCGACCACCTAAACTACTTTTTGCGACAGCTATTTTGCCGTCGCAAAAAAAATAAAATAAAATAAAAAACACTTTTAGCGACCATTGTTTTACTGTCGCAAATAATTATTTCTTTTAAAAAAAATCATATATGGGTTTGCTATAACAAAAAAATCAATTATAAGCACCAAACAATTTTTTGTTAATGAAAATAACAAAATTAACAATTTAATTAAATTTATAATAGACATTATCCATTAACCATCCTTAAATACACTGTACTAAAAAATTCAAGTCTCAAAAAAAGAAAAAAAAAAAAAAGGAAAATAATCTTTGGCTCCCAACATCACCTGCTTGATCATACCAACTATTCCCTCAACAAAATCTGCAAACACATATATCAAACTTAACTAAGTGCCTTCATACTATAAAATGCTATGTAGTTAAACACAATATAATACCTGAGCACTGCCTCCTTGCTACACCAAGTAACAGATAATCAAAACTCAAGGATAATACAGTGCAACTTCAGTAGAAATTTGGAGACATGTGAAACAAAAGAGAATGTTACAAAATCCAACCTTAGAAACACGAGCGCAAGTGAATGGATTGATATTCCAATAGCGAATTTCATTGTTACTATCACAAAAACAGAAAAGATCGTTCTTCTTGGGATGGAAATCCAGGGATATAACATGATTAGGGTGCCCGGTGTATGCATTTAAACAATAACTTGGCTGCAAAAATAAGCCCAATAAGTGTTTGTGGTGGTAATGATAAATAAATACAAACTTCATACATTGCAAATTTTAGGTTACCAGAATGTGAACAGCAGAAGCGCGACTTGTAAATGCAAGAATTACAAAGATTATCGTAAAAGAGAGGGTATAGACAATTACGTTAGCCGCATCCCACAATCAATGGGGTCGCAGCATTATACCATCTCGCAAATAGTATAGTGGTTTGGTTTTGAATTGAACTAGTTTCAAACATTTATCTTAAGTATAAATATATGAATACATTCAAACATTGGAAGACCTAACCAGATTAGCATGAATAGGTGAAGAATACACAACAATTGATCCAATTCTGAAATTCAGTGCTAAGAATGGGAAGGAACTATTATATAACTCACAACCACACTCCATTTTCTTGTTGAAAAACATAGATTATTTTGGAAATTAGTTGTACAGAAGCTTAAGTTTTCTAATCAACAACACAAATCCTTATTTCCATGTAAGGGTCATCTGTTTTAACTCCTGTATGGAGTATGCAGTGTTCATTAACACCAAAATTCATATTGAACAGCCATATGGCAGATTTGGGGCATTGCCAGAGCAGGTTCATACTAAAGGACTTCCATGATTAATCAAATGATTATTGCCTAAATCACCAGTCCTAATACTCCCTATCACAGTGCCTTTTTATCGGATCAAGTAAAGGGATAATTTCTTGTTTGATGTTTTTATCTTTATATCTTTTCTTAACTGCTATGTTTGAATTGAGTACATTAAGCATCGAAAAGGCAATAATTAAAAGAGTTGTGTTACTTCTTTACCATCAATTTTCACATGATGAATGATGCCAGAGGTGTAATTCCAAAGACCCTCATATGGGTACAATTGACTGTAAACCGTAGAAACCCCCGTCATCTTCATCGAATAATTCCCACTTTCTTTCCCATACCACACCTCACTAGCAACAGTTGATGGATCAAGGGCAGTCACATTAAGACCAATCTGAGAATCCCCTGAAAACCAAACCAATCAAAACAAA